GGAGATGGGTGGGGATAAATTCAATAAATAAATAAATAAATAAATAAATAAATAAATAAATAAATCAAATAAATGAAGATTAAGAAGAAGGGTGTGTGTGTGGGGGGGACCTAATTAAAACATAAAAATCAACAGAAGTAAACTTTTAAGAGGTAAACAGTATTAACAGCTGATCTTCATAGTACCAAGCAGTTATTTATGTCAGCAGTGTATGGTTGAAGTTGAGCTACGTGAATGGTTATTTCAGATTTTAATGTAGACAAGAACCTTAGGAGGAGTTTCTGATCCTGGGTATTCTCTCTGGTCCAGTTTCTTCCATCGCTGCATGAGTTTAGCTACCATTGGTGTATTGAAGTCCACTAACTGAAACCCTGTGATGTTGGCTCCTCCATGCATAAACCTCTCCAGGGAAATATCTTTGAATCCCTGTGAAAATAAATTTGGATCATATTTTATTTTCATCCAGCATGTTATTAAAAGTTTGTCATTGATTTTAGGGATTACAACTGTTAAGTAAATAACTTAAAATTTATTATTCATCTGTGTTAAGCTGTTCTTCAGATGCATTTAAAATGAATATAATTGTTCTAATTGTAAACACAATATATTTACCTATTACCTATTTATATATACATACTTTGTGTAATTGTACACTGATATAAATCTAGAGCTGGATCCACATTGACTCATATTTAGCACAGGCCATTGAAAATGACTAGTTTCATTGCTTCCATTTTTCCCTTAAAGGCATCCCAGAGGCCATGAGATCTTTTAGATCTCCCCTCTAAGGATGGAAAGAAAAGTCTGTATTCAAATATTCTCCACAAAGCCACTGCAGAAACTTTTGTGACATTTCTTTTCTGATCTTGGAATTCTCATGTTGGAAAATGGGACAGAATAGGGTGTTCAGCACTTGTCTCAGACATGTCACAAACTGCCTAGCATACATCAATTTCTTGCTGTAGGCTAGTATCCTGGTTTTAATGGGAGGAAGCAAACTGCCTGAAGGTGGAAAAACAGATTGTTGTTCTTCCTCTGTTCTTGCTTAGCATGGACAGGGAAATTTTGGATCTGTCAGATGCTCAATGGTGGGATCTTTCCATTGTGAGCAGTCTCATTCCAACCCAACAGTATTGCAATTACCAATGCAAAAACACATAAAAATAAAATTATTATTACTAGAACTATCTACTTAACTATAAATATTTGAAAATTAGTTCACAGTGAGAAAAGAACAATGTACATCATCTCTATGCTGGGCATTGTAAAAAGTAATTAATAATTTTTTTTATAAACTTATCCTCACAAATCTGATTTGCAGAACCAAGTCAATGTCATCATTAATGCTATGTACATCATCATCATCATCATCATCATCATCATTATTAATTATTATTATTTTAGGAGCAGTATAATAAAGAGAAGGGAGAAACTTTCCCCCAGTAAGATGCAATGATTTGGGCATCAGTCAATAGATTGACAATATTTTTTTAATTCTTTGTGTCACATTTAAAAATGTATCACATATAAAATACTAACATTGCCAGTAATTTTTTGGGACATTTCAAAAAGAATTACTGACATTGTCTTTACAGATCACATCATTCATTTTTTCTTATTCTACAATCATATATTCTTTGATATAGGGAGTAAAACAGTTTGATTTAAAGACTTTAACTTAAGCTTTAAAAATATATTAAAATATTTTCATTGATTCTTATGCAGATGGGTTCTTTGGAAAGTGCAGAACAGTATGTTTTCTATTTATTTAATATATCCCTCAATTGCCTTTCAAGACCACAGTCTTCTCAAGATACCTCACAATTCAAAACCTTACTTTTTATTACTTTTATTTAACTTACTTCTAAACTATTTGAAATTTAATTACTTAAAATGAAATACAGTATACAAATTAAATATTTAACAGTAGCAAATATTGTAAAATATTCAATTCTGCTTTTTGCAGGAAAAGTTGACATTTCTGTAAGGAGTATTGAAGAATTAGGTAGAACTTTTTTTTTTCTTTTCTCCCAGCTGTTATGGTTGGGATGCTATATTTTGCTATGGTAAGAACTCTCAGAGGTTTGGAGCAGATTATTGTTATAATTAAAATCAATGAGATTATGCTAGCATTTACATATCATTTATGCCGATGCATTCAAGGTGGTATACAATTTGCATAAAACCTAGTAGACATGGTATTAACAGAAAAAGGTTTGGATGAGAAGACAATAAACAAATGTCTACTACTCTGATTACACACACACACACACACACACTCCTGTACATATATTCACACACACACATACTGTTAGAATGATAGCTATATATCACATAGTTGAAGGGTGAGAACCAGGAGTTCTACTTCAGCTGATGAAATCAGCAGTGTCTGTAGCAGGAGAAGTAATATCAAAATCAGCAAGATGGCTGATGGACCATTATAATGCAAGTCCTGTCCCTTTTGGATTATGCACATACAAAGGGAGTGGAGGCTGGATTGCAACACTGTTTGCCATCTTGCACATCCACACAGACACCATTGAATGGAAGGCACCTTGCTGCATGATCTTTCCTTGAGATACAATTTCAGGGAGGAAAGGTTAAACAGTGTCATCCAAACCAAACATGATTTTAATGTCTACCACTCCATCAGATGAAGCCAAGAATTTCAGCTCAAAATCAGCCATGATATATTTTGATTTCCATCACTGAATTAACACCATATTTCTCTTTCCTGTGGCCATTTATCATTTAACTAGCTTGGCATGAAGTTAACTATAAAAAAGGATTCTTACCAGATTTGCAAGGATGTAATGGTAGCCTTTAACATGTTTTCCAACACTCACAATCTATAGAAAGAGAGGATAGAAAAGAGAAAGCAATGGATTGTGTATTACTCCAGGGAGTGGTTATTTATAACATGTTGAGATTATTGTACCTCTTCATCAAAATTGCAAAGGTAGCTTAATATCTGAATACTTACTTACTGGAAATGAAAATTGCTCATACTATTAAGCTCGCCCTCCCTCCCTCCAGACTGGGAGAATGCTGTTGATATATCCCCTGACTTCAACAAAGCATTCAACAAAGCCTTTCATTAATAAAATGGTAAATTGTAGGGTAGATGATAAAACTGTTAGATGGAGTCATTTGGCTAAATGATCTCTCCCAAAGAGTTATAACTTATAACTGGTTCCATATCCACTTAGAAAAAGTATAAAAGGAGGTGCTACAGACCTTGGCCCTAGGCCTTGTGCTGTTCAACATTTTTATAGATAAAGGGGTTGAGGAGTGGCTAACACTTTAGAAGAGAAAGACAAGATTCAACCCTAGGAAGGGAGGAGTGAGCCAAAATGAGCAGGATAGAACTTAACATGGAGAAATGCATTTCTCCTGCATTTGGGAGAAAACAAAAGGGAAAAGTATAGGATGGGGAGACCTGACTTGAAAATAGTATATACACAAAGGATCGGAGTGTTCAGGACATCACAAGTTGAACAGGAGCAATGATGAAACCGTTAAAAAGCCAAATACTATTTTCAGCTGCATTAACAGGGGCATATAGTCCATATCAGAGGAAGTAATTGTCCTATTTAATACTGCCTTGGTCAGACCTCACTTAGAATACTGTACCCGGTTCTAGACATTGCTTATTAAAGCAAGTTTAGAGGAGAGCTACCAAGATGGCGATTCGACTGGAACCAAGTCTTGTAAGGAATGGTCAAAGAAATTGGGTAAGTTTAGCTTGCCAAACAGAAGGCTAAAGGGAGATAGTAGTCTTCATCGATCTAAAGGCTTGCCAGACAGAGAAGGAAATAAATTGCTTCTGCACTGCTGTGGAACAACAGGACCAGAACCAATGGGCTGAGGGGCAGAGAAGTAAATTCAGGTTAGATATTATGAGGAATCTTCTGATGAGGAAGCCTTGTGAAGTGGTACGTTCCCTTTCACTGGAGGTTTTCAAACAGAGGCTGGTTATCTCTTCTCCAAAAGGCTTTAACATATCCTGCACTGAGCAGAGGATTGGACTATATGACTTCTGAGATTACTTTGAGTTCTGTGACTTAAAAAATCCCTACAAGGGCTACCAGATATGGGCTGATAAACTCCAGACAGCCACTAAGTGGCAAAGAAGAATTAGAGTTTTCTTTTTTCGTTTTTTTTTTAGATTTTTTACCCCACCTTAATTATTTTTATAAATAACTCAAGGTGGTGAACGTACCTAATACTCCTTCCTCCTCCTCTTTATCTCTGTACTGTCATATGGTAGTTCTACAAATGTTTGCAATTCAGAGGTGGTAGTCATATTCACCACTCTCTTTGAGATGAAACTGAATTTACAGTGTAAACCTTGCACTGAGAAGGAAATTGAATTCAATGACTTGGCTTTTCCTTTCCCATAAATTCTATGATTTCTTTTTTTAAAAAGCTTCTTTTTTAAATATATTGGTGGCAAACTGCCTTGAGGGTTTTGTTGTTTTTTTTTTGGTAAAGTTGTATGCATCTTTTAAATACTGAAGCAAATCAAAATGAATATCTCTTTAAGTTAAGTGTTTATATCTTGCTCAAAATAGGGCATTCCCATGATAGCTGAAACATTTTTCTCATTTAACTTTGCCTCTTTGCCTATGTTTAAGATAAACTCTTTCTGAAAGCTACAGCTACTTGTAATAAATAATGTTTATGATATTGAGTGTTCTGTGGTAGAATTCTATAACAACCCAGAGGTGAGAAGGAAGAACAGCATAGTGTCCCCAACTTCTGCAGTAATGCTTATCCAATATGGTAATGAAATGTTTGCAGCCCCAAAACCTAGCTCAGAAAAAGCTAGCAACATAATCCCTGACACTGTTAAACGTAAAGGAGTGTGAAAGGCTCTAACAAATGAAAAAATTGGAACTAGAATGCAAATAGTGTAGCAAAAAGACCAGCAATATACATTTTTAAGAGACGAGATTTCTACGCAGCACCTGAAGCAAGGATAAATCTTCCACAAAGCTCTCCACAATGTATTTTAAAAGCCTCTGAGCAGGGAAGTAGGAAAAAAGATGATTCACCGAGCACTGGCAAAAGTTCAGTACAGCTGCAATAGCGCTGAAGCATGTCTTTAGAAAAATACTTTGTGATAGAACAGGTTCTAGAGGTTCACTAAAAGGGGCAATTGACACTGAGATTTTCCTTCTGTGAGGGAAAGCAGGAGCTATTAGTAGAAAGAAACCAGCAGGGCATGCCGCGTTGGAAGATGTGTGGATTGTTTCAAATGCAGAAGTGCAACAGAGAATTACAACCACCACAAAAGCATCCAGTTATGCTGAGTATATTAAAAATTTGTCAGAAAACATGAAGAAAGGTTTTCCTGTATTTCTTCCCATGCTACTGTGCTATTTTTGGTTTCTGCATTTCACAACACAGTTCTAAGAAGTGTGTGCCTGCATCTACTACAGTGTTGTGATGGAATGGAATTATGAAGGCCAAACTCAGGGAGGAAAACATGCTCTTTCGTCTC